CACACACACACACACACATACATACATACATACATACATACATACATACATACATACATACATACATGTATTTATCTGAACTGTTATCAATATCGGTATGTTTGGATTGAATCCGGTAGCATGCAGTTATGTTAGCATTATGAGTTTTTTGGCCAAGCTTCTGTACAGATAGCGAATCTGGTTTTGGTGGGTTCTTTCGGTAGTCGATGTTCAGCCATATGACGTCCATAGACGTAAAAAGGTTGCTGCCGTATCGTAGAGTACAAAAAAAGCAAGAACAAATCTACACTAATACACTAAGAAATAATTAATTGCTCACCAGCTGTCGTTGCGTGTGCCGATCTTGCACTGCTTACCCATGCACGCACGCGCGTATACGCACGCATGTAATGCAGAGAAATTGGTTAATAAGTAATTATGAAAATCAAAGATAAAGGCTAGGCTATACGCACGCACACGCACGCACACGCACACACGCACACGCACGCACACGCACGCACACGTGTTTTTCACTCATGCCCGATGCTCGATGTAATAATTAATATATGTATACATGCACTTACCGCGACCCGACCGTCCGACGAAGCGCAGGTCGTTGAATTTCGCCACCTGGTTGCTGATCGTCGCCGTCGCGTTGCGCAGCTCGGCGCAGTAGTTCTCGTCGTTGCCGGCCTTGATGGTGACGCGCGTGCCGTCGGCGACGTCGCCCAGCGCCACTACCTTGAAGGCGACCGGCAGCGTCTTGTTCGAGCGCCAGTGCGACGGCAGCACGGAGCAGACGAAGTTCGGACTGCCCGTGCGTACGAGCTCCCCCGCGTGCTCGCTCAGCACCGACGACACACACGTCTCCGCTGTGCCGCCGAACGCGTCGGCCATCCCGCTGTATAGGAGCGGCGACCCGGCCGACGTCATCCCACGTAGAGGCATCGTCACGTCCGTCTGTGTGTGTGTGTGCGGTGGGTAGCGCCGCTGCTCAGTGCGTGAATACGCTGAGAGAGTGTGTGAGTGTGTGTGTGTGTGTGTGATACTGGGAGGTGAACGCAGCACGTGTGTTGCTGCCGTTGCTGCTGGCAGCTGTGAGATGCGTGAATGGCGAGGCTGCGCATTGCGCGCCGCTCCCATATACACGAGCTCCCCACACACGTGAGTCACGCCGTGATGCGTCACTGCACACACACACAGGCGCCGCACCGCACCGCACGCGCGCGAGCATACACACTCACTCACACTCTCACTCCCACACACACACACACACACA